GATCGCATATTACATGGAGTAAGTGTATCACAAAATGTACTTTTTGAGCTGACGACTTACCATATAGCTCTCAGAGCAATTTATATACAATAGTAATGAAAAATTGTATATGTAGTATATACCTATTATTTGTTTGTCTTTCCTTATTGTTCATATATTGTTTTTGTTTATAAATAAATCAAAGTTTATTTCATAAAACTGAAGTGAAAAAGTCAAAGTCTTAAATCAAACCAGCGAAAATTAAATGGATGTCAAGGAAAAAACTATCGATAATATTTTTAAATTTTCTAAACTATCAAGTGGTCCGACTATCGATAGTTTTGCAGCTCTAGTCCCAGGGTATCATTAAGGTACCTCACATACCAAACCCCATCATTTAAAAATCCTGATATTAGTTATATATCTATGACAAGTTTTGTTTTTTCATCTTTATCCATTATAGGCACAAACATACACTGTAAAATACGCTCTCGAAAACTGATATTAGTTATGTAAGGGCTAAGGAAGTTTTGACCCGATTCAACACCTTTTGACTTTCAGATATACTATCATCAGGAAAATATTGTATAATCGATGTGTCCATTATATATCTCACATATTGACCGATATTTTTAAAAAAGTCAATTATAGGTACTGGGGTCCCCATATTTGGAATTTGGGGATTGAACAGTTGTAGTCCGATTTTTTAAAAATTGGTCATAAGCTTGATATATAAGTTAAGGCTTGATTTGCGTACTGGAAAGTGAAAGAATCAGATGGATATATGTTCGATTGATTGTTGAATCGGCGGAGCAGGTCCGGGGTGGGTGGGTTCCCCTAAGGGTTGGCGGTCCAATTTTGATTTGTCTCATATAACTCAATTGTACCATCCTATATGTAAAATTCAACGTCTCTGACTTAACTTCTTTATTTAATCAATTGTAGCACTTTAATAGTTTTAATCAAAAGCGTTTAATGGAGTGGGCAAGGTCATCACCCGATTTTACCATTTCACACTGCGGTAGGGGTGCTAAAATATTTGTCTGAGTGAATTTTGTTTATATAGCTTTAGCGGCTAGGAGATATACACGTTAAACCTGTTAGAGGGCGAACTTTTAAACCGCAGATGTCCCTTTCTAATGGGATTCGTTATGTCAAATAGTAGCTTTTGTGGGCTTAGTTATGGCAATTTATTTGTATATGTTTTCGACTTATGGCGTTTGGGAGGTGGCAGTGGTCCGATTGTGCCTACCTACAAACTTGTTCTCACTTTTTGCCAAGTAATACATGTACGATTTTATT